GTTTAAAATTTGTTTCTTCTCTTTCTTGATTGCTTGTTTCCTTCCTTTCCCTCTTTCTCTTTCTCTTTTTTGATGTCTTTATTCAGTTTGAGTATGAAGTTAATACTGGCTTTACAAAATTGGTGTGGTAGAGTTCTTTCCTTTTCTGTTTTATGAAATGGTTTGTGGAAAATTGGTGTTAGCTCTTCTGTAAAGATATGAAAGAATTTGGCCCTGAATACATCTGGCCCTAGGCTCTTCTTTCAGTTTTGTTGTTCATTTTAGGTCTAGGTGGGGGATACCATGTTGAGTCAATTTAAGTCAATTTAAGCATGTCTTATGAGTTCACTTATTCTAGATTTTCTAGTTTTTTATGTTTTCAAAGTATTTCCATTCCTCTGCTTTTCAATAATAATTGTGATATCCCTTTAAATCTCTAATTTTATTTTTTCCTTTCATTTTTTTCTTTGTATTTCAACTGGGACTTAAAAATCAGGGCCTCAAGCTCTTACTTAGCTTTTTAGCTCATGCTTTGTGCTCTGTCATTTGAGCCACACCTTCACTCTGGCTTTTTGCTGGTTAATTGGAGATACAAGTCTCAGATTTTCTGTTCTGTTGGGCAATCAGAATTCAGCCTGCTAGGATTTAGGCATAATCCATTGATGTCTAGCTCACTATTGATTTCTGGTTTACGTTCATTATAGTCTAATAAAAATATAGGAAGTGATTTCTATTTTCATTTATTTGTTGACTTGCATTATGTCCTAAAATATGATCCCTTTTGGAGAAAGTATCATGTCTCAAAGATTTCTCTGCCTGGACTATCTTTGAACCATGATCATCAGATTTTAGCCTTCTAGGGAGCTAGAATTATTGGCATGAACCATCAACACATAGCCTCCTTTCTCTTGGTTAATGTGGCTAATGATTTGTCAATCTTGCTTTTATTTGGGGGGGTTGTTTATCTTTTTAAATAACTAATTCTATTTAATTGATTTCATGTAACTTTTGTCTCGATTACATTAAGTTATATCTTGACGTTTTCTATTTCTTTCTACCTTCTAACTTGGTATTTGGCTTGTTCTTGTTTTTCTCAGTGTCATTGGGTTACTTGAGATCTTCCTGGTTTTTATTTTTATTTTTTTGTACCGGTCCTGGAGCTTGAACTCAGGACTGGTTGCTATCCCTGAGAGTTTTTGCTTAAGCTGTATTTTCACTTGCTAGTTAATTGGAGATAAGAATTTAATGTACTTTCCTGTTTGGGCTGGCTTCAAACCACGATTCTCAGATCTCAGCCTCCTAAGTAGCTACGATTACAGGCATGAGCCACTAGCACTTGGCTAGTTTTTCTGATTTCTCAATATAGGTGGTCATAACTATCAACTTTCCTCCTAACACTGTCTTTACTGGTCCCCAAAGGTTCTGGTAAATCAGGTTTCATTTTCATTAGATTGTAAGACATTTTTCTGCTTATTTCTTCAAAAAAGTGTGTTCTATAAAATTTCATTGGTAACAACCTAGCTCTTAGTATTTAGTGATTCCAATTCTTTTCGTTGTTGTTGTTGTTCTTCTTCTTCTTCCAATCATTTCACATTCTAAAAGGTTTTCCAATTAATACACAAGTTATTTTTCCTAGGAATCTCTTTAGCATCTGTTTGTAAGTGAACTTTCTTTCTTTCTTTCTTCTTTTTTTTTTTTTTGGTCGGTCGTGGGGCTTGAACTCTAGGCCTGGGCACTGTCCCTCAGCTCTTCAGCTCAAGGCGAGCGCTCTATCACTTGAGCTACAGCGCCACTTCCGGTGGTTTATTGGAGATAGGAGTCTCACAGTCTTTGCTGCCCGGGCTGGCTTTGAACCGCGATCCTCAGATCTCAGCCTCCTGAGTAGCTAGGATTACAGGCGTGAGCCACCAGTGCCCGGCAGTGAACTTTATTTCTAAAATTAAAAAAAGTTTTATCCAGGAGTTGGTAGCTCACACCTGTAGGCTTACCTAGTCAGGAGACTGAGATCTGAGGATCTCAGTTAGAAGCCAGATTGGAAAGGAAAGTCCATGTACTATTATTGCCAATAAACTGCCAAAAAAGCCAGAAGTGAAGCTGTGACTCGAGTGGTAGAGCCAAACTAAGCTCAGGGACAGCACATAGGCCCTGAGTTCCAACCCCAGGACCTGCACACATGTGTATGCACGCACGCACACACACACACACACACACACACACGTTTAAAGAATTCATTTAGCAATAAACATTTCTATCATTTAACAATAGAATTCATAGTTAATATGGTAAAAGTATACTAATATGCTTTTGATTAAACAGAACAGGGCTGGGAAGGTGGCTCAGTGGTAGAGCGCTTGCCTTGCATGCATGAGGCCCTGGGTTCCATTCTTCAGCACCACATAAGCAAACGGAAAAAAGCCGGAAGTGGCGCTGTGGCTCAAGTGGTAGAGTGCTAGCCTTGAGCTGAAGAGCTGAGGGACAGCTCCCAGGCCCAGAGTTCAGGCCCCATGACCGGACACAAAAAAAACAAAAACAAAAAAACAGAACTATAGCTGCTTAATATCCAAACAATATACTATTTTAGATATCTGAAGCCCTAATCCAGCTGATGAGGAAGAGCCAATCAAGTCCCTCTCCTGGGGAGATGAAGATTTTTATGGCCCTGAAAAACAGGCAGTAGAATAAAATGGCAAACAAAAGAGGGAAAAATAATACTGATTCTCCTCTTTCTCTCTCTTCCCGGCTTTTTCTGCTTATGTGGTGCTGAGGAATCCAACCCAGGGCCTCATGCATGCAAGACAAGCACTCTACCACTGAGCCACCTTCCCAGCCCTCCTCTTCTTTCTTCTTTCTCTTGTGCTAGTTCTGGGCTTGAACTCAAGGCTTGGGAACCAGAGCTTCAGTATCAGCATTTTTTGGTGGTTAATTGGAGATGTCTCACAGACTTTCCTGCCTGGACTTGCTTCAAACCATGATCTTCCTATGTCAGCCTCCTGAGTAGCTAGGATTACAGATGTGATCCACCATTGTTCAGTTGGATCCCTTCTCTTTTAATTATATACTTCTGTCATCACTCTCCCATACATAAAGCTGCATTTTGTGTCCTGGTGCCAATAGATGGAGGAAAGAGGTTATTGATATTATATATTATGTAATATTGCTATTACATATATGGTTTTAAAATGCTGAATGCTTGGTTGGAGTGCAGAGTACAGATCCCTAAGTGTAATGGTAACTAAAGTTATACTTTAAAACGCTCAGGTTTCGAACTAAATATAAATCTGTAGCCAAAATTCTCAGGTATTAAATTGTTTATTCAGAATCCTATATAAGATGAATAGAATTTTTACTATCTCCAGGAAAGTTATTTTAAAAACAAACAAAAGCAAGTGTAAGAAAAAAACTATAGAATTTTTAATTAAAAATTACATTATAACAAAGACACTATACATTAAGTTACAATATATACACACATTTTTAAGGTCTTATATAAAACCTGTTGTACAAAGGAAGCAACATATGTTTCCTACCCACATGATTAAATATATGTCCTGACAGGAAATAAAGAAAAAACACAAGCCGGTGTGCCTTAAAATTAGAAACTCTAATCAAGGCCAGATCCCAAAAATGTTATTTCCTATCATTTTTGTAATGTTTAGGAAACATTTACTTTCATCAGATGTTAAAGCCTTTTCCTTTAAATATACCAGTTGCTGTGTTTACCTCTAATTCACTGAAGTAAATATAAAGTTCATTTAGAGGTTTGGAACATGAAAACTACAATGAAGAAACAAGCTGAGCTGTAATTGTGAATTTCTAACTGCTTATTTTGAATGTACAACTCAGTAGTACAAGTATTACACCTTGTAATACATGATACAAAAGAACACATGTCCGATTCTGCTGTAGAGCTTTTAGGAGAATGTCAAATACAGATATTAAATTTTTTATTCATTTGCATGTAAGACCCCGTGCATTTAAAAATAATTAAACACTTTAAATATATAAACATCGTTTTCAAAAATGATGCTAGGCATCTTTAAATGCAGTACTGACACATTGTAACTCAACATGCAGTTAGAGGAAAAATGAATTTTTAAAAACTCATTTCAAAACCATTTTTAAAGAGTTACTCATTGAAGTACTTACATGAAAATATTGATAGTTCCAGTTTCTGCCTAAAAACCAAAAGAGTATACAATTAGGGATTAAAACCTTCCTTCATGTTCTTGGACTTTTAAGGATTTTTAAATTTTATTTCCATTTGTTTGTGGGAACTATGCACTATGACTTTCTTCAGGATTGAAAAAGAACGACAACAAAAGCAATAACAGAAGAGTTATCAATTCAGAAGAAAGTGAGAAAAAAAAGTTAACTGCATTTTTTGTTTCATGTCAGGGGCAGAGGGGTGTTCTAGGACAGGACCCAGGGCCAGGTACATGCTAGGCAAGCAAACTACTTCTAAACTACCTCTCCATCACCTACATTTTGTTTTGGATTATGTACAAAGTCTGAATTCTTTGATATCTCTCATTCTCACAGGTAACTGGCTAGGATGTGTATTTTAGCAAGCATTTTTCCTTAGCCACTCAACATCAAAAAAGAAAGGAATGTCTCCAAAACAATAGTTTAACTGGCAAAATATTGAATTATATTTCATTATTTAAATATACATTATTGGAAGATGAAGACCAACTAAAATCTTGAAAAGTTTCCATGAAAAGAAGAAATAACAAATGAAAATAGTTTTATAGTACAGCTGAACTATAAATTTTTGCAACTTAATCCTTTTATGCCTACTGAGGCTAATAAAAACCTGGGTTTGAGGTAACTAAGAATTGTGTTTAATTTAGTATAATTTAATGCTTCTATAATGGTAATAAGAAAAAACAATTATTCAATTCTTAGGAAAAGGAAAAGCAATTCTTACTAAAAATTGTATACATAGCTAAATATAAACTTTACATTAAATAACATAAATAATAAACCTTACATTGAAAAGGGTATAAATCTAAAGAGAAAGGAATTTTAGAATTCTTTTTATTTCCAATACATTTAGATACATCTTACATACTTGAAACAAAGTGAATTGGGAATGAGAGCCAAAAGTGACTGAGATCCATGTAATCATGGTAAATTTCATACTATATGTATATGCCTTGAAAATAAGCTTTAATAGCTATTTGAAATAATTATTTTTAAAACATAAAATTTTAAATATGCCACACAAATTTCTTTTGAGATGGGGGTCTTACTATTTATCTCAGGTTGGCCTTGAAATCACAATCCTTCTGTCTGAGGGCTGGAATTACATATGTGTACTGGATTACACTGATTTCTTGACAGCTATATTTAACATTTCTAGCTTGCCAATCTTCCAGAAAACAGATGCTTATAATGAACAATTTTTTAGTATTTATTTGCATTTGAAGCAAATCCATTTACTTAACAAATATTTTAAAATGTTAAATGTATAACTTTTAAACTGTATATTATATACTTACCTTGAAATATTATGAACCCTAATACTCATTCATTAAGAACTATGTTATGGAAAAAATGTAAATACAATGCAAATTATTTTCTAATCAGCACTGAATCTTCAAAACAAAAAAAATCCTCTACTATCATCAAAAAGCCTCTCTTTCTAAATTCTCTCCATTTCTTTATCTTTTTACCCTTAGACAGGACTTTACTCCAGTACAGCTGAAATCCATGCCATATAATCTGATTTCTGTTGCTTATTTAATCAATTTAAGTAATCAATTTAATCAATTCAGTACTTACCAAGACACTTAAATTCTGTCAGTTAATCATTGTTATAATATTGGTTTGTAGTGAAGAAGTTTGAAAATTACAAGGAAGAGGCCAAAATGAAACTGCAGTTTCCACAAATGCAGCTGCTGGGCTTTATGTCATGGAAAATCTAATGCTTTACCTTTCTAGGTAAGATACTATAAATATTTTCTCACTTACCTGCTAACTAAAAATTTCTTCACATCTTAATGACATACATATATCAAAACAAATATACACTCACATACTGTTTTTGTTATTGTTCTCCTTTGTCTATTAAGATCATAATTGGATATATCCAGGGATGGACTATGTTAACATTTGTGTTCAGAATAAATTACTGTGGATAACAATCTTTTGAAATCTGGATTATTAGACAATCAACAAACATAAAAATTATACAAAATAAAGAGTAATATCTCTTAAGGAAGGTAAAAAATATGGAATTGGCAACAATATACCAGTTTTAAGTCAAACTAGTCTTCAGTCCAGTTATCACAATGCTGCATTTTGACAATATTCACCTTCTTTTATAAATATCACAAGTCACCAGAGTTGTAAATTCTGAAAAGCTTCAAAAATTTATGTAGCAGATAATGTCTTACAGTCCAATTTATTTTTTGCTTCCATAGACAATGTAGTTTCTTTGGGTTCTTGCTTAACTTGATTCATAGAAATAGTACCTTCCAGATTTTCTTCAACTTTGAAACCAAACATAAAAGAAAAATCCAAAAGGTTAATATACTTTATGAAACTGCAGTCTTTTGAATTAGATGAATTTAGAAGAAAAGCAAACAGTAGTGTAGAAAAACTAAGCAGTAATTTAGAAAAATAATTGGTATGCTGAAAATACAATGCGACATCTTATATGATTGCTCTAACTTAGCTGTGTAAGCTAGGTGTTTGCTTATCTGAAACCTTTCAGAAGGCACATTATCATTCTGATTTCAAAGTACTTTAAACCAGTAGCATACCAGTAGTAATCTGTGAAGTGGTAAATGGAATGTCAAATATCAAATTTTCATCTCTCTCAAGATTCAGTTTTCCAGCTGCTCTATGGGTGTATCAGTTTGTCAAGAGTTGTGGAAATATGGAGAACCAACAAAGGATGGAGTTGAATGACCCCTGGAACTCATATCCAGATGAAATAGTCCCTCAAATTAATCTAGATACTAAAATCACATAACTGTGAATCCAAAGGCAGTCTCATTTAAAGCAATTTAGATTAGTGTTTCCAGAAATAATGTGGCACAAAACAGAGTGAGAAAACATGTTAGAACTGAAGAAAGCTTTGGGAGGTAAGATAGACCTAGGTTTAAATCCCTCTTCTGTTACTTACTAAATATGAGCTTCATGCAATTACTTAAATTCCCTGAGCCTTTGTTTTCTGACCTGTAGAATGGGGACACCAATAGTATTTTTGTGGGATTGTGAGAATGAATTCACATGTATTCCTCTTTCTTCTAATCTATTAAAGTTACACAATAAATTACAAGTACCAAAGCCCTCTGGATGAGTTTTCTTTAAGGTAAGCTTCCAATAAATCTAAAAGATAGTAACTGTATCTTGAAGGAGTTATATCACAATTTTCTTTACCAAGAAGAGCAATAATCAAGATGGAGGAAAAACATTATTTCTGTAAATATTTTTATACTTCAAAGCAAAAGAAATGTTCAGTCTAGAACAATCTGTGTTAAAAAAAAGTAACAGTATCATCAAGTAAGAGTTAACAGAGTTCTTTTCTTTTTCTTTTTTTTTTTGACAGTCCTGAGGCTTGATCTCAGGGCTTGGGCATGGTCCCTGAGCTTCTTTTGCTCAAGGCTAGCACTCTACCACTTGAAGCCACAGCACCACTTGTGGCTTTTTCTGTTTATGTGGTAGTGAGGAATTGAACCCAGGGCTTCATGCATGCTAGGCAAGCACTCTACCACTAAGCCACATTCCAGCCCCTTAACAGAGTTCTTGACTGGGTTAGTACTGAATGAAGATAACAATGTCTTAGACTAAACTCAGGTGCCCAAATCTTACTTGCCCTCTTTCAATGTCCACAGAACTCGGTATCTTCATCTTATTTCACATTTTTTTCTTTGTGTATGTATGTGTGTACATACCAATTTTTTCCAAACACTTTCCTTTTACTTGCTTCTATCATTTTTCCATACAATCTTTTTCGGGCTTTACATAATCTTATCTTTCATACATTGTTTTTCTGGTTTTAAATTATTTTCTTGTTTTACATAACCACAGATTTTCCAGGGAAAAATAATTAAAAATGAATAATTTCAATAGGGTTAAGTAGTTAGAAATAAGGGGAAGAAAAAATGTAAGTTTAAGAGTTCTTAAACTACTGAAATTTCCTTTTCTCTTATAATTTTGCTGGAGTTTTAAATATTATAACCCACTGGGTAGAAATGATAGTTTTTCTATCTGAAACTATCATAGTTTTTATCATAGTGAATGATAGTTCATAAAGACTAAAAAAATCATAAATTGACTTTAACTTACTAAGAGCTGAGTGGTTGTCTATAATTTGTATTGGAATGGTGTGCATATCTCCCAACAGAATCCTATGAACACTTCCTTCCAGATTCTCAGTATTTTCAACATCATCTTCCACCAGCTGATCCACGGCAACTAGAGTTTGATCTGGTTCTGGGAGGTTACCCATAGCAGAGGCAGTACTATTGTTTTGAGTTAGACATATATCTGTTTGAAGGCTATGACTTTGACCAAGCAGTAGAGAATTATTATTCATTATGGTACTTCCTGTAGAATTCAGAAGTCTTGAAGGACTGGAGGAGGGATGGTTATTTACTGATAGTAGATTTGGTGATCCTTCAGGGGAGGTGATTCTTGGTTGTAACTGCAAACCCTTTTAAGCAGAAGAGTCATATCAAAATACTTGTATGACAGTCTTATAGGCTAGACTGTATTTTGAAAGAAATGGAACACAAACTAACAAGTATATAGTTACTATACACATTTTATTAAATATTAAATGAGAAACAAGAACCAAAGGAAAAATAACAAAATTTTACTGCACTTATAGCTAACCTCCAACTTTTTTCAAAATATAGTTTTGAATTAGCATCTTAAATCATAATATTCAGGAGATTGATAGCAAAGAAATATTTAATCATTATTACCATTCTGAAACAATTCTCTAAAATCCCTAGAAAAGGAAACACCTACAAAAGGAGAAAATCCCCAAATTGGTTGTAAGCTAATCCAATATTAGTATCAGGGGATATTAATGAAGTTTTCTTTCTCTAGTGTGGATACCTACCTGTAGTTGTGTAAATATTTTGGGCTGTAATGAGGGCAATGAGGAGAGCAATTGATTTGGCTCTGGAGACAAAGAAGCCCCTGTCTGAGTTGTTCCCACTTTGGTGTTAATTGATTCTCCTGGTGAATTTCCTGAATTATATAAAATACAAACTATTAAAACAGAATAGAGATATAATATATAATCTTTGTTCATTCATGTGTTGTTGGGCATCTCAGTAGATTCTATCATTGGCTATCATGAACAGTGCTACCATAAACATAGATACACAGGTGTCTTTTTAGTATATTGATTTATTCCCATATATATAGATAGATAGATGTCTGGTAGTGGTAGTGTGGTTCTTAAGGAAGGTCACTTTTAGTTTTTTTTGTTTTTGTTTTGCTTATGTGGTGCTGGGGAATAGAACCCAGGGCCTCATGCATGCAAGGCAAGCGCTCTACCACTGAGCCATCTTCCCAGCCCTCATTTTTAGTTTTTTGAGAAAGATCAATACTGATTTCCATAGTGGTTGCACTAGTTTACCTTTTTTGTTGTTGTTGTTGGTCGTGTCTATGCCCTAGGGCTTTATTGAAGGCTGCATTTTATTTTTTATTACTTATTTTGTCGGTCATGGGGCTTGAACTCTGGGCCTGGGTGTTGTCCCTCAGCTCTTCAGCTCAAGGCTAGTGATCTACTACTTGAGCCACAGCACCACCTCCAGTTTTCTGGTGGTTTATTGGAGCTGATAGTCTACGAACTTTCCTGTCAGGGCTGGCTTTGAACTGCAGTCCTCAGATCTCAGCCTCCAGAGTTACTAGGATTACAGGCATGAGCCACTAGCCTCTGGCACTCGTTTATGTTCCAACCGAGAGTTTGTGGGCTTTTTCCTTTCCTACTCCATCCCTGCAAGCATTTGTTGTTTACTTGATGGCTGCCATTCTTCCTAGTATGGTTTTAATTTGCATTTCTTTTATGACTATGGATGTTGAACATTTCATTAAGTATTTATTAACTATTTGTATTTCTTCTTGTAAGAACTTTCCAATTCACTTGCTCATTTATTAACTGGATTATTTGTTCCTTCCTGTTTAATTTGTTGAGGTCTTTGTATATTTTGTAACTTAATTCTAGAGAACTATTTCTCCCATTTTGTGTGTTGTCTCTTAGTTCTTGTGATCTGTTGCTGTGAATAAACTTTTAATTTGATATAGTTCTATTTGTCAATTTTTGTTCCTATCTTTTGGGCAACTATTCTGAAATTTTACCTTTGCCTATAACTTCTAGATTTTTTTAAATTTTTATTTATTTTTTATTGTGAAAATACTGTACAGAGGGGTTACAATTAGATGGGCAAGATAATGAGTACATTTCTTATCAAGCATTGTAGCCTCCTCCTTTGTTTCCCCTTCCCATCCCTTCCCAGCAACTTCTAGATTTTTTTTTTCCATTTTCCTGTAGTTTATTAAAGTTTCAGGTCTTATTTTGAGCTCTCTGATCCAGTCCTATTTTGAACTCTTTGATCAAAAAAAATTTTTCCCCCAGGGTAAGAGACAGAAGCCCAGTTTCAGTCTCCTGAAGGTAGAAACCCAGTTTTCCCAGCACCATTTATTGAAGAGGCTATTGTTTATCCATTGTATATTGGCTTGTCAAAAATTAGTTGGCTACAGGTACATGACTTTTTCCTGTTTTTTTTAATATTGTTTTATTGGTCTTTGGGTCTGTTTTTGTGTGGGTACCAATGTGTTTTTGTTTCTGGTTTTGTAGTATAATTTGTAATATGGTTATAGTGTTACCTCTGGCTTTGATCTTTTTTATTAAGAATTATTTTGCTATTATTTTTTTAATGCATGCATATGAGCTCTTGGATTGATTCCTGTAATTCTGTGTGGAATGATACTTGGATTTTGATGGACATGAATTGTACCCATATACTACTTTTGGCAGTACAATCATTTTCCTATTACTTCTGCTAATCCACGAACAGTTTTTCCAACTTCTAATGTCTTCCTTTCTTCAAGGATTTGTAGTATTCATTGTGGAGGTATTTTCTTCCTTGGTTAATACCTAGGTGTTTTGTTTTTGAGGCTATTGTAAATTGTTTTCCTGACTTCCATCTCAGCCTATTCATTTTTGTTTTATAGAAAGGCTACTAACTTTTGAGTATTGATTTTATATCCTTTTATCTTTCCAAAGTTAGGCTCTCTCAGTTCTAGAACTTTTTGGTGATGTCTGTAAAGTACAGGATCCTATCACCAGTAAATAGGGATACTTTCTTCCTTCCCTATCTGAATGCTTTTTATTTCCTTCTGCCTTATTTCTCTAGCTAGGGAATAAGAGTGGGAAGAGTAGACAGCCGTATTTTGTTCTTTAGGGGAAATTATTTCAGTTTTTTCCCATTTAATGAGAAGTTGGCTACAGGTTTGTTCTATTCCTAGTTTCTTCAGAACTTTTATCATACAAGGATATTGAATTTTGTCAAAGGCAGTTTCTTCACTGATAATTGATTGAGATAATTGTGTGATTTTTTATTCCTGGTCCTGTTTATGGGCTGTTTTATATTTATTGATTTATGTATGTTGAATCATCTGCATCTCTGTGTGCTTTTTTGTGTTGTTAAATTCCATTTGCAAGAATCTTATTGAAAATGTTTACATCAATATTCATCAACGAGATTGGTCTATAATTCTATTTTTGTTGTTGTTACATCTCTAGTTTTCAAAAGGCTGTAAAACAGCACTGGTTAGTAGTGTTTCTTCTTTTTCTATCTCATGAAAGAGTTTAGTGTAAGTTCTGTGAAGTTCTGGTGGACTATGGCCATGAATTGATCTGGCTCTTTTCTTTGTTGGAGGACTCTGTTACTGCTTCAATTTTATTGCTTGTCATAGCAGTTTATGTTTTCTTGGTTAAGTTTTGGTCAGTTCACTGTATATAAAAAACTTTCAATTTCTCCTAGATTTTCCAGCTTATCTGAGTATAGATTTCCAACATATTCCCTCATGATCCCTTGGATTTTTATTTTTATTATTCATTTTTCACCTCTAATTTTATTAAGTCTCTCTTCTCTTTTTCTTTTGGTCAAATTAACTAGGAGCTTATCAATTTTTTTTTTTTTTGCGGGGGTGGGGGGCGGTCGTGGGGTCTGAACTCTGGGCCTGGGCACTGTCCCTTAGCAATTCAGCTCAAGGCTAGCGCTCTACCACTTGAGCCACAGCTCCACTTCCGGCTTTTATTTTCCTGCTTATGTGGTGCTGAGGAATCGAACCCAGGGCCTCATGCATGCAAAGCAAGCGTTCTATCACTGAACCACCTTCCCAGCCCCTATCAATCTTATTTATTTGTTCAAAGAGCCAACTTTTGTTTTGCTGTATTTTTTAGGGTTTTGTTGTTACTCTTTTTATTTTGGTCTTCACTAATTTCTGCCCTAATGTTTACTAATTCTCTTCATGTGCTAGTTTTGAATTTGGTTTGTAGTTTTTTGAGATGTATGAGTTGCAACATAGGCATTAAGCATTTTCTGGTTTTGGGATTTTTTTATTTTTGGCAATCCTGGGGCTTGAACTCAGGGCCTGGGTGCTGTCCTTGAGCCTCTTTGTGCTCAAGGCTAGTGCTCTACCACTTGAGACATACTTTCTAATGTTTAAGTGGTAAATTGGAGATAGGAGTCTCACAGGGACTTCTCTGCTCAGGCTAGCTTTGAACTGTGATCTTCAGAACTCAGCTGCCTGAGTAGCTAGGATTACAGGCGTGAGCCACCAGTGCCTGGCTGATTTTTTTTTTTTTTTTTTTTAGCATTAGGCACTTATGGCTATGAATTTTCCTCCTAAAAATGTCCTTTGTTACAAGTTAACATGAAAAGTGGTTTTATATGAAACATCAATCATGATGTTTTGATAAGCAGCAATACCAGCTTTCATTTGTAATGCACTTTGTGGCTTTGGAAGAAAAGGATTCTGTTATTGCTGAAGTGAATTATGTTATAAATGCAAAGAACTATTAAAAAATATTTTCTTAAAAAAACAAAAAACTTTCTTTGTTGTATCCCAGAAATTCTAGAAGGATATGTTTTCTCTTTCTTTCTTTCCTTCCTTCCTTCCTTCTTTCCTTCATTCTGTCTGTCCGTCCATTCTTTCTTTCTTCCTTTCTTTCACTTTCTTTCTGTCAGCCTTAGGGCTTGAAGTCAGGGCCTGGGCGCTCTCCCTGAGCTTTTGTGCTCAAGATTAGTGCTCTACCACTTTGAGCCACATTGCCACTTTGGTTTTCTGGTGGTTATGTGGAGATAAGAGTCTCATGGACTTTCCGGCCCAGACTATGATCCTTAGACTTCAGCCTCTTGAGTAGCTATGATTATAGGTATGAGCCACCTGTGCCCCACTATGTGTTCATTTTCTTTAGTCATCAGGATCTTTTTGATTTCTCCTTTTATTTCTTCAGTAACCCACATGTCATTCAACAATATATTGTTCAGTCTCTTTAACATTTTTTGTAGTGTCATTTGCTGTCAAGCTCTAGTTTAATGTCATTGTGATTAGACAGAATAAAAGGAGCTATTATAATTTTCTTGTATTTGCTCAGACTTACTATATGTTCTAGGATATAATCTAAGTTGGAGAACATTCCAGATACTGAGAAAAATATGTATTGTGAGCCTCTACATTAAATATTCTGTAAATATCTTTTAATTCCATTTAGTCTATGATGTCACTTAAGTCTAAGGTTTCCATTGGTGGCCTTTTTGTTTAGATGGCATATCTGTTGGTGAAATAGGATACTGAAGTGTTCATTATTTTTTGATTTTTGGATCTAACAGTGCTAGTAAATGTATGTCTTTTTTCTAATGGACCTGGATGTGCTGGTATCATGTGTGTGTGTGTGTGTGTGTGTATGTGTGTGTGTGTGTGTGTGTGTGTGTGTGTATCTCAACTCTAATTTTTTCTTTATAGATCATTCCCTTTGTTAATATAAAGTAACCTTCTTTGTCTTTACTGACTGATTTTAACTTGAGAAGATTGAAGGATGGCCACTCCTGCCTGCTTCCAGATCTATTTGCTTAGAAGATCTTTTTGATCTTTTAACCCAAGCTTGTGTTTGTTTCTGTGAGTGAGATATGTAACTTGCAGCAACAAATGGTTGCATAGGAGGCTCAGTATTTTTGCTCACGCTGGCATACAACATTTGTGCTATATAGTACCTCAACTTTGTGGTAGTTAACTGAAGAGTTTTCACATCTGTTTGCCTGGGTTGGCTTTGAACTGTGATCCTCACATTTCAGCCTTCTGAGTAGTTAGCATTATAGTGAACCACTGGCACCCAACTTCAAGGCATCTTAATTTCTAATGTCCTTCTGTTTCATTCTGTTGCAGGTACCCAATACTATGCTGCTATTCTACTCTAACTATATCTTTACAACACTTGGGACTATTCTACTTTTGAAATCTCACATTCAAACATTCCATTCTCTGATCTAGTCTCTATTCTTATAGGAACTGTGTATAGGTACTTCACTTGGAATTATTTGTCAACCTTATATGACTCCAGTAAAAAGATTCTGCAGTTTTCTTCAGCTCTACCAACCATTCCTTCATAACATTCATTCCCTACCCATATTTGTGTCCAACGCCTAAACTTTCAGTAAATTACAAGTACCTTAAACACATCTGCCTTTGGTTATATTCCCTTGGTAAAGTCATATGTGGATGAATATGGCTTCCTATGACCATACACAGGAGAATATGTGGATGAATATGGCTTCCTATGACCATACACAGGAGCCAAGTGGTCCTGAAAAAGAAACTCAATTATTAACGGACATCAGCTTCAACTGGACCTTCACCTATATTCTTTCTGAGACTTTTACTATTATTACTATTATTATTATACCTAGCTCTCATTCAGCTTTTTCCCCTCATGGCTAGTGCTCAACTGCTTGAGCCAAACCCCTACTTCCAGCTTTTTGTTGGATTATTAGAGGCAAAAGTCTTGAAGTTTGGGGCTGAGAAGGTGGCTCAGTGGTTAAAGCGCTTGCCTTGCATGCCTGAGGCCCTGGGTTCGATTCCTTAGCACCACATAAGCAAAAAGAAGAAAGCCGGAAGTGGCGCTGTGGCTCAAGTGGTAGAGTGCTAGCCTTGAGCTGAAGAGCTGAGGGACAGTGCCCAGGCCCAGAGTTCAGGCCCCATGACCGGACCAAAAAAAAAAAAAAAAAAGTCTTGAAGTTTGACTGCCTGAACTGGCTCTGAACCTCTATTCTCATATCTCAGTCTCCTGAGTAACTAGGATTACAGGTATGGCCCTTGGTGCCTGGCTCTTTCCTTATTCTTACTAGAAAAGATAAGCCAAACAGACAGAAATTTCTTCAACTTCCCATAAACATCTGCATTGGTCTCTTCAAAGTCTCTGTTTTTACCTTAAAATACCTTCCCTCAACCTCATATATCTCTTAAAAGAATTTTTTTAAAGATGGGGTCTTCCTATGGAACCCAGGCTGGTCTTGAACTCAAACTTAAAATCATTCTACCTTTGCTTTTCAACTGCTGGGATTGTAGGCTTGCACTACCACTCCAGATTTTATAGAAAAATTCTTTGAAAAGTGGTTCATATTGTCCCTACCTTTTCAGTTATCTCAAATGTACTCTTCAACTATCCTAAAATGGCTTCCTCCTCATCCATTCCATTGAAATGAGCTGGATCCTCCAGCTTCAAAAACCCTAATATGACATTTTTCCCTCTTCTTCCTCCCAACTCTCATCCATACCCACTTTATTCTTTGGCAGTATTGCTGAACTAAGTAATTGCCACCACAGTCAACAGTTCAAGTCTGAAATGCAGAGGTCATCAAAGGTCATTTTAACTCTTTTATCCTTTACTAACATACATCTACTCAACCATTAACAAAGTCTTGGTATTTCTAATTTTAAAATAATTATTAAAGAAGGATAATTAAAAGAGTGAGTTTATTAGAATACATTATAAATGTATGTGGAAATGTAACAATGAAATCCTTCATATAAGTAATGTAAGCTAATAAAGAAAAAAATAACTATTAAAACTGTCTATAATATGTATATCACCAACTATAGACTAAACCATGATTACCTTCTACATGTATATATTGAAATGGCTTCCTAAACCTGTTTTTGCTTAACCAGTTTTAATTCCAAGTGCTACATATGGTAAATTCATGCTAACTTTCTTAAGTTCATTAAATATGACAAGCTGTTCCTTGCTTGGCTTTTCCATATGCTATTCCTATTTTTCCTCCAGTTATTAGCTTCAGAGTGACATTTTCAAATATCATTTCTTTATTGTCAATTCTATCATATGCCCAGCACTAAGTATAATGATTTAAATATGTATAGAAGAACTCATTCTAAGAATTTGAAAGCTATTGTACTGATAAAGATACTTATAGGTTAATAAGTGAAATACCAAAATACCATATAATATATACTTATTCACTAATTCTAAAGCATTTATTTAGAAGTTAACTTTTTAACAGGCATTTTTTCTAGGTACTAATTAGTTTGCATAAAATACAATACTTGCCTATTAAAAGCTCAAATAATATTCAAAGATACAGACAGGTAAACAATAAACTACCATGTTGAATGCAGGGGCAAATAGAAAAGAATGAGTAGTTCTCCTATTAGTAAGGGGTGAGGTTAAAAGATCACTTAAGTGCTATGAATGTAGCTCAATGGTAGAGCATTTGCCTAACATGCAAAAAATCCTGGGTTTGATCTCCAGCACTGCAATAAAAACAACTTAAAACCAGAAATTATTACTTGGGTAATAAAAAGAGTTTGCCATGTAGAAGAGAAAAGACATTTCCATAGGAGAGAATAAAAGCAAAATATCTGAAATATGCCTGGAATGCTGATAGAGAATAGAATAGGGCTGGGAAGGTGGCTCAGTGGTAGAGCGCTTGCCTTGCATGCCTGAGGCCCTGGGTTCGATTCCTCAGCACCAGCAAAAAGAAAAAAGCTGGAGGTGGCACTGTGGCGCAAGTGGTAGAGTGCTAGCCTTGAGCTGAAGAGCTGAGGGACAGCGCCCAGGCCCAGAGTTCAGGCCCCACGACTGGACCAAAAAAAAAAGAAATACAAGCCATCTAAAACGGACAAAAACAGTTCCCAAACCAAGGTATCTTAAGGCTATCACTACCAGAATCAGCCAGCCCTCTAGTTAAGTATATTAATATCCATTCTTGAAATTTTAATCATAAAGAAGCATGAAATTTTAAAATAGGAGATGCTTTAATAGCTGGAATTTTCTAGCTGCTCTTTGCCTTTTTGGGTCATGGTTTCCTTACTTATAAAATATATTTTTAAAGCAAGGCGCCAGTAGCTCATGCCTGTAATATAAGCTACTCTGGAGGCTGAAATCTGAAGATTACAGTTCAAAGCCAACTTGGGCAGGAAAGTCTGTGAGAGCCTTATCTCTAATTAATACCCAGAAAACTGGAAGTGGTGCTATGGCACTAGCCTTGAGCAAAAAAGATCAAGCACAGAGCCCAGGCCCTGAGTTCAAGCCCACAACTGCCCCCTCCATATATATATATATATATATATATATATATATATATATATATATACTAGTGTGTATATATATATATATACACACTAAAAAGTTATATATATGTTATATATATAATATATTTATATACAGAGAGAGAGAGAAAGAGAGAGAGAGAGAAAGCGAGCACCTAGAATCAGGTACAATAGCTCATGGACTCCTAGCTACCTGGGAGGCAGAGATCTAAGGATCAGGATCATGATTTGAGGTCAGCTGGGACAAAATGTTTGTTTTGTCTTTTTTTTTTTTTTTGGGTCCCGTCATGGGGCCTGAACTCTGGGCTTGAGCACTGTCCCTAAGCTCTTCAGCTCAAGGCTAGTGCTCTACCACTTGAGCCACAGCGCCACTTCCCGCTTTTTTCTTTTTGCTTATGTGGTGCTGAGGAATGGAACCCAGGGCCTCGAGCATGCAAGGCAAGCTCTCTACCACTGAGCCACCTTCCCAGCTTGGGACAAAATGTTTGAAAGGCTTCATATAAGGCAATGGCACATGTCTGTCATCCCAGTAATGGAGGAAGTACAATGGCTAGACATAGTGGTACACTCCTGTCATCTCAAGTATGTGGAAAAGGGGTAGCAGGGTAGCAAAAGTGACAGACTACAGACCTATCAAGTGTGAGGCCTGGGGCCTGGGTGTGGGGCTCACACTTGTAATCCTGGCTACTTAGGTGACTAAACTTGGAGGATTGTTGGCTTAAATCCAGCACAGGTAGCAAAGTCCACAAAATTCTTTCTCCAAAATAACCAAAGGATAGAACTAGTAGAGTGCTACCAGAACAAACAAGGATCAGAAAAAAAAAGTGCTAAGTGTAAGTTCAAACTCTGGTACTTAACAAAAAAGGAAGAAAAGGAATAGAGGAAGAGAAGAAAGGAAAGGAAAAGGAAGAGGGAAAAAAGTATGGGATGGGGGTATAAGAGGGAAGCATGGTGGCTTATACCTGTAATCCTAGCTACTTGAGAGGTGAGACAGAAAAATTGTGACATTCTAGGCCAGACTGGCTGGACAAAAAGTTAATGAGAGTCTATCTCAACAAACAAGCTAGGTGTGGTGGCTTTGGACTATAATTCAGCTATAAGATAGCAAGGAGGATCAAGGTCCATGGCCAGCCCTGGCAAAAGTACAAGGCTCTTTCTGAGAAACAATTAAGCAAAAAGGCTGAAGCAATAAAACATTTTTTGGTGGTATGGAGAAATGAACTCAATACATTCATTGATAGGTAATGAGTGAGGCCTCCCCAGCCCTTTTGTGTTTTCGGTTTATTTTTCAGATTGGGTCTTCTACTTTTGCTACAGGTCAGCTCTTTAGACAGCAGTCCTCCCACCTCTCCATTCCAATTAGCAAGGATTATAGGTATCAACCACCAACTCTAGCCTGTTATCTGTAAAATTTGATTAGATAAGATAGTATCTTAAGTTCCTTCAAGTTTTAAAGTTTTTTGATTTAATACTATGCAAATATTCAAGATAACCCACCTCCGGCGAATGTAACTGTCACAGTTTCTCTGAGAATATTCTCACCATCTGTTGTCCACTGAAGCTGAAATGAGAATATTTATTTCAGTAAAAAAAAAAAGTTACACAGAAAAATTTTCTATATAAAAATAAAAAGTTCTTTTATGTAAAATGGTACCATAAGCAAAGTTAAAATATAAGCCACGGCTTAAGAGAAACAATATTTAGAAGGGAAAGAAATCTTAAAACATCAACATATGATCCTATTTTATTTTTATTTATTTGTTGTTATTGTAGAGTTGATATACAGAGGGGTTACAGTTACTTGACTCAGGTTATGAGTACAATTCATTTTTTTTTTTTTTGGTCGGTCGTGGGGCTTGAACTCTGGGCTTGGGCGCTGTCCCTGCGCTCTTTAGCTCAAGGGGAGCGCTCTACCGCTAGAGCCACAGTGCCACTTCCAGTTTTCTAGTGGTTAACTGGAGATAAAGAGTCTCACAGACTTTCCTGCCCGGGTTGGCTTTGAACCGCTATCCTCAGATCTCAGCCTCCTGAGTAGCTAGGATTACAGGCATGAGCCACCGACACCTGGCTATGAGTACAATTCTTTTTGAACCATGTCTCTCCTTTCCTTGCTCTCTCCCAGTTTTTCCCTCCTGTCCCCAACCACAAGATGCATCCATGTAGTGCCTAGTGAGTACTGCTGTTGTATTCCTTCAACCCTTGTTCTACCTTTTCTGTGCTCCCCTTACCTTCCCAAAACAAACTAACAAACAAAAGAAAAAGAAAACAAAAACAGCAACAATGGCAACTAAAAAACGTCGATTCCTTTTCTTGAAGTTCATTTCATAAAATATTACTTATATGATATGCACATAGCTACTGAGCCTTTGTCAACCACTCCTATGCATATCCTCCCTTTGACCTCAGTATGTGAATATCTAGAGTCCTATGTAATTTATCATGTCCCAGTGTGTGTGTGTGTGTGCACGCGCATGCATGTGCGCACACACACGTATACATATATATATATATATATATTTAATCATTTAGTGTGTGTACTTATAGATTTATAGGCACATTCTAGTTACCACAAATGAGGGAAACTATGCAGTCTGCGTTTCTTTGGCTCTGGCTTACTTCACTTGTCAGACTATATTTGTGCTTTATTCTATAATTACTCTTTAGTTCACATTCTCATACCACAAGTATCCCTCACTATCCAAATATATTAGTTTCTTGAATTCATCTACCAAGAATATGCATAGGAAGTATAGGTGGTAATAATCAATTCTAACCAAATCTGCTTTATTTCTTGAATTCTGGATAGGATTAGGAGGCTATATTTTAAAAATGTTTCTAGATTCAAACACAGTACTGAACACTTCAAGAATTTCCTTGACTTTTACTATATGAGGGATCTGAATGCTATAAAAGTTGGATAGTTATATAGAAAGAAATAGAAGTTCTACCTTTCATAAAGCCAAGAATCTATTCTAGTATTGAATTTGAATGAAGTTAGGAGAACAAAGGGTATTGCTACTCAGATTTTCATGCCACAATCACTACCTGCCTGAATTGTAATTAGTGATTTCCAGGTAGCAGTAGTATAACTTCATCAGAATAAGTTATATATAGGAAAAACTATAATATCAAAGTGTGAGGTACAGCTGATACCCACATATGGCATAAGGATACCACAGCATCACCTCCTGAATTCAAGTTGGAACAATTCAACCTTGCTCATGTATTTTTTACAGGAAGGCTATATACTCAGTATACACTGAATAAATGACTGCTTAGCCATAAGAAATAATTCTGCAAAGAATAAAAATACTGATTTAAAAGTGAAGATTAGTATTGTTATTATTTTCAGATTGGAAATCCACTGTTTCTTCTTGTAAATGTAATAAAAAATTAGTCAAGTTATCATCTAAGAGGTCTAGCATTTACATTTTTGGTTGTCATATTGGTGGTACTAGAGATTGAATTCAGGGCTTCCCACTTGTTAGGCAAACACTCTACTTCTTGAGTCACACCCCAGTTCTATTTTTTTCAGCTATTTAGATAGTCTAGTGGTAGACATCTCTATCAGGCCAAATAAAGAAGCTAATAAAGAGTCTCCAATAAAATAGTCCCTAATAAAATAAAGAACTATAGTTGTAATCATACCGTTGCTGGAATAATCTCTGAGTTATATACCATATCTCCAGTTCTCAGGGATTTCTGTACCTCATGGATATGATTTTTTATATCATTTACAGTTGGAAAAAATGATAAGTTATGTCTTTCGGGTACCTCATCAGGTTTGAACAGCTCTCTTTCTACAAATTTTCTGTGAAAAATATAAAATAGAATAAAAATATAAGTAATCTAGTAATTATACTTTATAATAAACATCTATAAAGTATTTTATAGGTCTATAAGAATAAGTATTTTATGTTTCCCACTTTAATTTTTTTCCATGTATTAAGTCAGAATTCACACAAGTTAAATAAAGAAATATTGTATTTTCATTGGTTAAAAGGCTAAAGCACATTACAGTGACCTTTTCATTTTTATGAATTTTATGAATTCATTTTATGAATTTAAAGGGCTCACTTCTCAGTTTAGGTATCATGTTTGTCAAACATAGTACAGAACTGCTAAGTATTTCCCTGAACTTTTACTACGCTCTGTGACAAAGTTACAATTATCATTCCCATTTTACAGATGAGAAAACAGAATACTTCAGAAGTTACATAATTTGCCCAACATGATAATTCTACCTAGTAGGAAATTGAAATTGAGCCTTTACCCAAATTATACGCCAAAGCATCATGTGGTACTGTATCTAGCAGCAGTTTGATATGTTCAAACTTTACAGATAGACGAGAAGAAAGAAATAAAGACAGCATTGCTATATAGTCATATACAAATAAATGTATCAAGGGAATAACTAAGTTTAACAAATATATGTTTTGTATATTATACTCAATGAACCAAATTGCAGAATTGAGCCAGATGCTGGTGGCTCATACCTGTAACCCTAGCTATTCCAGAGGTTGAGATCTGAGGATTGTGGTTTGAAGACAGTGAGATTCTTTTTTTTTTTTTTTTGGGTCCAGTCGTTGGGTCCAGTCGTGGGGCCTGAACTCTGGGCCTGGGTGCTGTCCCTCAGCTCTTCAGCTCAAGGCTAGCACTCTACCACTTGAGCCACAGCGCCACTTCTGGCTTTTTTCTTTTTGCTTATGTGGTGCTGAGCAATCGAACACAGGGCCTCATGCTTGCAAGGCAAGCGCTCTACCACTGAGCCACCTTCCCAGCCCGACAGTGGGATTCTTATCTCCAGTTAATCCCCAGAAAACTGGAAATGGCACTATGGCTCAAAGTGGTAGAATGATAGTAAAAAAGCTCAGGGATAGCACCTGGGCCCTGAGTTCAAGCCCCATGAACAACAACAACAACAACAAATAATAATAATAATAAATTAGAGTTGTATTACTCCTCTGTCCTTAATAAATCTCATTTCAATTAGTTTAAAGTCAGTATATTGTCCTAGGTATAGTAAACAATGAATGGTTTTTTACCAAATTTTGGCTTTTTCTAAAGACATTCCAATGGAAATAAAATAAAAAGACTAAGTGAGGTGTTAAATAGATGTCATGTATTAAATGAGAAATGATTTTAGAAAGTGCTAACTTTGCTGTTTAGATTATGCTACACAATAAATAGTAAGAGTCCCAATGGAATGATTCATGCTGTAATTCCAGTTACTTAGAAGGTGGAGATTAGGAGGATCATTATTGAAGGCCAACCCAGGCAGAAAGTTACAGAGATCCCATCTTAACACAGAAGCTACTTGTGATGATGCATACCTGTTATATCAGCTCATAGGGGGTGTAGGTAGAAGAATCACAGTCCAAGGCTTGCCCCAGAGAAAACCACAAGACCCTATTCAAAAAAATAACTAAAGACAAACGCCTGGGGGCATGCTCAAATGGCAGACTGAGTGCCTAATTGAAAAGTTCTGAGTTCAAACTCAGGTTCTCCAAAACAATTTTAAAAATAGATCAAAGTAACTAGAAGGAGCATGATTAATATCAGAAACTAAGATAATTTGCATAGCCTACAGAATTAGGCTTAAATTTCAGTTCTGACTCTGCCTTTCAAGCCTATTATTCAACTACTTTGTATTTCCATTTTCTCATATGTAGACTGAGTATAAATATACTCACTTTGTAGAGCTGCTTTAAGACTAAGATTATGTGTGTAAAGAATTATTTTAAATTATTTATTATTTTAAATTTAAACTTAATGTTAAATTACAATTATATAATATAATCACATATATTATAATATATATTATTTATATAATACACAATATAATATATTATAATAATATCTAATATTACATATAAATACATTATATTGTTATGTATTATGTATTATATATATGTAATATGTATATAATGTATACATATTACATATTATAATATCTAATATATAATAAGCATAATAAATAATTTTAACTATAAATTTTATTACAACAAATATTTTTTTCTAATAAGATTACATTTGTACTACTCTGGTCTAACTACTGATATTCAAGATAACAATTCATTTAAATATTTCTAAAAATACATTATTATAGTAAATCTTTTCACTATTTCATATTGTAACAAAATTTAATTGTATCCCAAATAGTCTGAGATAATACATATTTTGGCTTAGATTTTTTTTTTTGGTTGGTTGTGGGGCTTGAACTCTGGGCTTGGGTGCTGTCCTTGAGCTCTTCAGCTCAAGGCAAGCCCTCTACCGCTGGAGCCACAGTGCCACTTCCGGTTTTCTAATGGTTTACTGGAGATAAGAGTCTCACAGACTTTCCTGCCTGGGCTGGTTTTGAACCTCAATCCTCAGATCTCAGCCTCCTGAGTAGCTTAGGATTACAGGCGTGAGCCACTGGTGCCCGGCTTGGCTTAGATTTTAAATTTTTTGGTTCTTGAGAAATTTTTTTCTCTGAAAGTATTATATAATTAAATTTATATATCACTTAGGAATAGTCTAACTGGTCAAAAATATAATGTCTCACATGAGTAATCAGAGTCATAATAAATCACATTATAGGTAAACTAGGGCATCTGCTGAAAATGATCAGTTCATAAATAAAGATTATTTTGATATAAACTATGTTCCTTTTCCTCTGATAGCATATATTCTAGAAAGTATCCACAATGTTAAGTGTGGTAAATAAACCAAAGCATAAAGATGAAAAATGCAGAAAAAATCTTTTTTTACTATACCGTAGCTGTTTCCTTACTGCATATACTTGTTCTACTCCCTGTGACACCAGCTCTTGAATCTTTTGTGCAACCTGAGGATGAAGACGTGAAGGTAATGCACAATTCTCATCTCTAAGTGCAGCTTCCTCTTCCTCGATAGAAGCCACAGGAAAGGGGGAGGGTGATAAAGAGAGGCAAGGAGTCTCTAATTCATGATACTGATGAGCTTGCTGTGTAGGTAACTGTACATACCACCTAATAAGAAAAAATATTTTAAAGGGTTACAGTTTAAATGCTGAAATTATTCATTATTATTACATAGAGGCAGGAATCATAAGGGGCACTTAAGTTATAATTCATCAAAAGAAGGAATATTCTTTGAAAAATTGAATAAAACTTAAAATACCCTCTGGTTAACCTTTCTAAGACTGATTTCATACCAATTAAATACAAATCTTTTTAAATCTTTTTTTTTAAAGATTAATCATTGGGCCATGTTTATTTATTTATTTATTTTGCCAGTTGTGGGGCTTGAACTCTGGGCCTGGGCGCTGTCCTTCAGCTCCTCAGCTCAAGGCTAGCACTCTACCACTTGAGCCACAGCGCCACTTCTGGCTTTTTCTTTTCTTTTTTTTTTTGGGTCCGGTGGTGGGGCCTGAACTCTGGGCCTGGGCATTGTCCCTCAGCTCTTCAGCTCAAGGCTAGCACTCTACCACTTGAGCCACAACGCCACTTCCGGCTTTTTTCTTTTTGCTTATGTGGTGCTGAGGAATAGAACCCAGTGCCTCATGCATGCAAGGCAAGGACTCTACCACTGAGCCACCTTCCCAGCCCCTGACTTTTTCTGTTTATGTGGTGCTAAGGAATCGAACCCAGCTCCTCATGCGTGCAAGACAAGCACTCTACCACTGAGCCACCTTCCCAGCCCCTCTTTTTAAGTCTTCATTCATTCACTTTCACTGGCCCTAATGTTGAGGGGGATGCAGAGATGTAAGCATATATGAGAATGGCATTTTAAATTTCATATTAATTAAATTTTACCTTAAAATAGTCAACTTGTAAGTCATCATTTTGCATTGCATACTTCCCATTCATCAAACATGTGTCCCACATTACATTTCTGTGAGGTACCTGTCACCTTATTACTATAGTACATTATAATTCAGAGTTTTTGGGTTAGGAGTATGGCTCAAGTGGCACAGCATCTGACTAGTAAGATTAAGGATGTAAGTTCAAATCTCAGTATTGCAAAGAAAAAAAGAGCTGAGTTATTTGGAAGAATCTCCTTAACAAGAACTCAACATGTTGCCTCTATATCATTCCTAGCTCCTACTGGCCCAAAGAACAAAAGAATTAACAGCAAAAAACAAATCCTGGGGGGGGAAGGGGGTACTGGGAAGGGTTGAGAAGGGGAAACAAAGGAGGAGGCAACAATGCCTGATAAGAAATGTACTTATTACCTTGCTCATGTAATTGTAACCCCTCTGTATGGTATTTTCACAATAAAAAAAAGGAAATAAAAAAAGTAAAAATAAAAAGGCTTGGGTATACCACACATAAACAAAAAAACAAATCCTACAAAAAATGAATTGAGAGCTGGGAAGGTAGCTCAGTGGTAGAGTGCTTGCCTTGCTTGCATGCATGAGGCCCTGGGTTTGATTACTCAGCACCACATAAGCAGAAAAAAAAAGCCAGAAGAGGGCGCTGTGGCTCAAGTGGTAGAGTGCTAGCCTTGAGCTAAAGAGCTGAGGGACAGTGCCCAGGCCCAGAGTTCAGGCCCCACAACCAGACCCCCCCCCCAAAAAAAGAATTGATATGGTAGGATATTTTTAAAGCATATATATATATATATAAATTATATATACATGCATGTATATATATATATATATGTTTTCTTCAAGTAGTTGTATAAAGGGGTTTCTATTAAACATGTCAATTTATGTGTACAGTGCATCTTCATCAGAGTTACTCCTAGAATACTGCTTTCATACATTTATAGAAACTTTTTACAATGCTTAATATCAAACCAAATGAGCCTACTTAAAAATTATAAACAATGTTTTCCAAGTTTTAAGGATATAATTATTGATTCAATTTCCTCATACATCTGAATTTTTTTATTAAAGGTTACACAAAGCTGCTGGGGGGTGGTCGTTCCCACCTGAAATCTCAGCTACTCAGGAGACTGAGACCAGAGGATTGCAGTTCCAAGCCAGCCCCCGCAGGGAAGTCCATGAAAAACTTATCTTCAATTAACCACTGAGGTGGAGCTGTGGCACAAGTAGTAGAGAATTTGCCATGAGTAACAAAGTTCAGGGAGGCTTGATGCTGGTGGCTCATGCTTATAATCCTAGCTACTGGGGAGGCTAAGATCTAAGGATCATGGTTCAAAGCCAGCCAGGCAGGAAAGTCTGTGACTTTTTTTGTGGTTGTTGTTGGTTGTGAGGCTTGAATTCTGGGTCTGGACGCTGTCCTTCAACTCTTTAGCTCAAGGTGAGCACTCTACCACTTGAGCCACAAAACCACTTCTGGTTTTCTGGTGGTTTCTTGGAGATAAGAGTCTCACGGACTTTTCTGCCCAGGCTGGCTTTGAACAACGATCCTCATAATATCTCAGCCTCCTGAGTAGCAAGGATTACAGATGTGAGCCACTGGTATCTGGCTGTGACACTTAATCTCCAGTTATCTACCAGAAAACTAGAAGTGGAGCTGTGGCTCAAAGAAGTAGAGTGCTAGTCTTAAGCAAAAGAGCTGAAGGACAGCACCCAGGCCCAAGACTGGCACACACATGCGCGCACACGTACACCCACACACCTACACCCACACCCACTCACGCACACACAGGATTACACAAAACTATTTCCCTTCTATTCAACTTCATTATATCATAATAGATTCTTCACCTGGGCATGTATATAAAGAATAAGGAAGAAAGCTAATGTTTGTTTCTATTTAAACATGAAACATGAAATGGGATTTTATTTAAGGCCCAGGATTCATTTTTAGCTAATAATAGCCAAAGATAGGTAGGAAAAAAAATCATACAAACAAAAGTTAGGAACAAATTGTGTTCCTAAATATCTTAAATAAAATACTAAAAGTAAAATGAAATGCACTGCTAAATATGTATTTTTCATTTTGGGGACAAAGCAAAAATATACCAAATTTTCTTTTTTGGGTCTGGTCGTGGGGCCTGAACACTGGGCCTGAGCGCTGTCCCTCAGCTCTTCAGCTCAAGGCTAGCACTCTACCACTTGAGCCACTTCCGGCTTTTTTCTTTTTGCTTATGTGGTGCTGAGGAATAGAACCCAGGGCCTCATGCATTCAAGGCAAGCGCTCTATCACTGAGCCACTTTCCCAGCCCATATTTTCTGTTGTATATAGTATATAGTAAGGTATAATTCAGGCAGATGCTAGCACTAGGATGAATTATTTACAATGTTTGGCTGATAGATGCAATAAATTATACAATGGAAAATAAATAGTACTGCGATATCTACTTTATAAAAGCATTTCTTTGGTCCAAGACTGGGATTTGAACTGATGTATCTGATGCTTTCACTCACTGTCTGGCACCCTACCAATTGAACTACAGCTCTAGCCATAAAAGCATTTCTTAATAAAATAATTAGAAGGGGCTGAGAAGTTGGCTCAGTGGTAGAGTGCTTGCCTTGCATTCCTGAGGCCCTGGGTTTGATTCCTCAGCACCACATAAGAAAAAAGAAAAAAGAAAAAAGCCGGAAGTGGCGCTGTGGCTCAAATGGTAGAGTGCTAGCCTTGAGCTGAAGAGCTGAGGGACAGCGCCCAGGCCCAGAGTTCAGGCCCCACAACTGGACCCAAAAAAAATAAAATAAAATAATTAGAAAAAATAATTAGAATTTCTCTTTAAAAAGAATTCTTATAAAGGAAGATAATTAGGAAGTAAAATAATTGTATAAATGTCATACCTAAGAACGCCACCAGCATCTACCAAGTTCTTCTTTAGCATGTTGAAGGCTTTCTCCTGTTCCATTCTAATTATTTTCTTGTCAATTTTGGGATCTGTAGATACTCTATATTCAGGAAACTTCTGTACCTTCTTAATGTAAATCCTGTATAGAAGATATAGGAGAAATTGTTTCGTCACATTATGATATAACTTACTAATCAAGAGTTTAGCTATAGGGCTGGGAAGGTAGCTCAGTGGTAGAGCACTTGCCTTGCATGCCTGAGACCCTGGGTTCAATTCCTCAGCACCACATAAGCAAAAAGAAAAAAGCCGGAAGTGGCACTGTGGCTCAAGTGGTAGAGCACTAGCCTTGAGCTGAAGAGCTGAGGGACAGTGCCCAAGCCCAGAGTTCAGGCCCCATGACTGGACCCAAAAAAACAAACAAACAAAGAGTTTAGCTATAATCCTAGAACTCAAGAGGCAGAGGCAGGAAGACTGTTAGTTTAAGTCCAGCCTGAGCTACATAGTGAGACCCTGTCTCCAAAAAAAAAAATCAAAAAGAAATAAAGACAAAGACCCCTCACTGGCGGATGGCATTGCTCCATCCCACCAAAGCCACTCGGCCCCATAGCCCCTCGAAAGGAACTCCAGAATTACAGGGGTCTACCCACAGAACACCAGTGAGAAGACTCCCAAGGTGCTGGTGCTGACCTGGATGGCGCAAACAGAGACAGAAACCTTGAATCTCAGAATGGTGTGAAGACCCCCTCCCCTACTCCACTGCTGGCAGCCAGCACAAAACACCCCCGTGGTGCCGACCCAGACAGCAGCAACAGAGGCAGAGACGGGGAGAAACACTGACCCAGAACAGCCACCACACAGCCCAGGACCACAAGCAACGCAACTGAACGCAGAGTGCAGTGGCAACCAGCGACAGGCATCACAGAAACAGGGATTTGCCACAGCACAGCTGGAGAGTTCCCAACTAGTTCTAGGGTGAGTACCCCACGGAGGATACTGTACCCCTTCCCCAAGGGAGACCAGTGCTAGTGGTCACCCCCAGAGCTTGACCCAGACTCCTGCCCCAACACTTGGACTACAGGTTCCACTAACACTGGGAACTGTGCAAGCACCCCACCAGCCGGTGGAGCACATCCACCCTGCCAGGCTTGATGAAGAGTGCCCCTGGGAGGGAGCTTAAACACCCAACCCGGGAACAGTATTTATGGGCTACAGCAGCCAGCAGCGGAAGAAATCCAAACTGTGTACTCCAGGCTGTGCACCCCAGGTGGGATACCCAGCAGCACAGGTCCAACTGCCGTGCCCCAGGCAGAGGACCAGAAGGCAGGGCCAGGCCTGGAGATCGGGTGCCTGAGCTGCACAACTGAGTCCCAATTGAAGTCAGAAGCTGAGCACATGCCTCAGCAGAGGGGGCAGAAAGCAGGGAACCACACCCCCTGGGAATCATGCCCATGACAGCAAAAGCCCTGTGTGTCCAGGACAGGAGAATCAGAAGCCCAAACCCCACCAGAACCTGACCTCTATATCCCAAGCCTGGGATTGGACAGCTCAGGCCGCCAACACCTGATTATAGTCAGGAACTCATAGCAGACTCCAGCAACTGGGAGAGTACATCCAACATACCCGATCTTGCCAAGAGCACCTGTAGGAGTAAGCAGGAGCAGTCTAAGCTGTTCAGTCCTTGGCTAGAGGCAGGAACTGCCAGTGATCTCCAGTAGACAGCCCTACAGTGCGTCAGACTAGCAGCTGGAGGTTGGCCTCTACCCCAACAGAACTGAGACCAGGTAGATTCTCCAGGCCAACTCAGAGCTGAGAGCAAGCTTCATCAATTGATCCAGGAACCAACCCAGAAACAAGCAAAGACAGTCACCTATTGACCAAAACAGTCAGAGTTTCAGATTCGTCTCTAATAATCCCTGAATCCCCAGGCAAAAATCAGAGAAAATTACAAGATTTCTCAATACCCAAAACAGCAAGCTACTCCCCAAAGCCAGCAGCCACCCAAGGGAGAGCCCCAGTGGAAGCAAAGCAGGAATAGGAATGCAGTAGGAATGCTACATCCAAGAGAAGCTGGAGGCAATGACTCAAGAATTAAAATGAGAAATAGATCCGAAATTTAAAGAACACAGAAATGAAATATCAAAAGAGATGCAGAATTTCAAACAGGGGATGCATGCAAAAATAGATTCAGGGCTGGGAAGGTGGCTCAGTGGTAGAGCGCTTGCCTTAGATGCCTGAGGCCCTGGGTTCGATTCCTCAGCACCACATAAGCAAAAAGAAAAAAAGCCAGAAGTGGCACTGTGGCTCAAGTGGTAGAGTGCTAGACTTGAGCTGAAGAGCTGAGGGATAGCGCCCAGGCCAAGAGTTCAGGCCCTATAACCGGACCCCCCCAAAAAAATTCAGTACACACCTTGCTAAGAGATGAGATTAATACTCTGAGAACTAACATAGAAGCCATAAATGGCTCAATTTCCTCCATGCAAACCACAATGGAAGCCATAGTTAACAAAGTGAATGAAATGGAGAATAGCATATCAGATACAGAAGACAAAATGTAGCAAATGGAAAAAAAAATCACAGATATGGAAAAATCACATAAATTATGCCAAAGGGAAATCCAAGAGCCAGCAGACAGTGCCAAGAAATTCAACCTTCATATTATTGGAGTGGATGAAGGTGAGGAATATCAAAGCAAGGGAATACAACATTTATTTAGCAAGATTTTTAATGAAAATTTCCCCCATCTTAAAAGAGAACATCTTACCTACATAACAGAAGCATATTGAACAACTAACAAGCAGGATCCCAGGAGAAATACTTCTAGGCACATTATAGTAAAAATAATAGATCTGAATATTAAAGAAACAATCTTGCATCCAGCAAAAACAAAGAAGGAGCTATATAATGAGAAAAAAATCAGAATCACTACAGATCTCTCCTTACAGACACCGAATGCAAGAAAGGCCTGGGAAAGTATGATCCAAGCCCTGAGAGCCAATAACTGCCAGTTCAGATTGCTATACCCTGCAATAGCATTCACATTCCATAGAGAAACTAAAATTTTTAATAATAAAGAAAAACTAAATGAATTCATAAACAATAAGCCAGCATTACAAAGAATATTGAGAGGGAACACAACCTGAAGAAAGAAATCAAGAACAGGGATCCTCATCAGACAGATATCACTGTAAGTCCAACTTAGTAAGTATGAGGAAAGGAAAAAAGAAAAATTTTGGAAAACAGGAAATTGGCAGGAAACACAATGCATCTCTCTATAATAGCCATAAATATTAATGGGCTCAATTCACCAATCAAAAGAAAAAGAACTGCAGATTGGATCAGAAAACAAGATCCATCCAGGAGATCGGTCTGCCTTCTGGGAAGGTGGCTCAGTGGTAGAGCGCTTGCCTTGCATGCCAGAGGCCCTGGGTTCGATTCCTCAGCACCACATAAGCAAAAAGAAAAAAGCCGGAAGTGGCACTGTGGCTCAATGGTAGAGCGCTAGCCTTGAGCTGAAGAGCTGAGGGACAGCGCCCAGGCCCAGAGTTCAGGCCCCACGACCGGACCAAAAAATAAAAAATAAAAACAAACTCAGAGTGAAGGATTGGAGAAAGATCTACCAGACAAATGCTCCCAGCAAGAAAGCAGGAGTTGCCATCCTGATATCTGACTAAATAAACTTTTCATAAAATCAATACAAAAAAGACAAAGAAGGCCGGGTGCAGGTGGCTATAATCCTAACTAATTACTCAGGAGGCTGCGATCTGAGGATCACAGTTGAAAGCTAGCCTGGGCAAGAAAGTCCCTGAGATGGGCTGGGAAGGTGGCTCAGTGGTAGAGTGCTTGCCTGAGGCCCTGGGTTCAATTCCCCAGCACCACATAAGCAAAAAGAAAAAAAGCTGAAGTGGCATTGTGGCTCAAGTGGTAGAGTGCTAGCCTTGAGCTGAAGAGCTGAGGGACAGTGCCCAGGCCCAGAGTTCAGGCCCCACGTCTGGACGGCCCCCCCCCAAAAAAAAGGAAGTCCCTAAGACTCTTATCTCCAATAAACCACTCAGAAAACCGGAAGTGGCACTGTGGCTCAAGAGGTAGAGCGATTGACTTGAGCTGAAGAGTTGAGGGACAGTGCCCAGGCTCAGAGTTCAAGCCCCATGACCAACCCCCAAAAAAGACAAAGAAGGATACTACATATTAATACAGGGAACAATCCAAGAAGAGGATATTACCATTATTAGCAACTTATACTCCCCAAATATTGATGCACCCAAATATGTGAAGCAAATACTCTCAAACTTACAGAATAAAATAGATACAAATACGATAATACTAGACTTTAATACCCCACTCTCACCAAATGACAGGTTCTACCAACCAGAGAATAGGCAAGGAAGCCACCAAGTTAAGTGAGGCCGTATTTCAAGCGGATCTAATTGACATTTCCCTAGTTTTCCATCCTAAAACGACAGAGTACACATTCTTCTCAGCAGCTCATGGAACTTTCTACAAAATATACCATATCATAGTTCATACAAGGAATTTAAGCAAATACAAGGGGACTGCCATAATCCCCTGTATCCTATCCAACCACAGTGGAATCAAGCTGTAAAAATTACTCAAATACATGGAAACTGAATAGCACACTTATGAGCAATACCTGGGTAACAGAAGAAATTAAAAAGTTTCTACAATTCAATGAAAATGAATACATATCACATAGAAACCTGTGGGACCTGGCAAAAGCAGTCCTGAGGGGCAAACTTATCAGTCTCAGTGAACACATCAAGAAAATAGAGACAGACCTAGTAAATAACCTCATGTTGCAATTAAAACTGCTAGAAAAGCATGAAAAAAATTGAACCTAAAATTACTAGATGAAGCCAGATTACCAAATTAAGAGCTGAAATCAACAAGATAAGGACTAATAAAACTATAAATAAAATTAATAAAACAAAAAGCTGTTTTTTTGAAAAAATTATTAAAATTGATGGACCTTTGGCAAGTCTAACTGAAAAGAGAAGAGAGGAAATCCAAATCAATAAGATCAGGGATGCCACAGGAAAAATTACAACAAATACTCAAGACATCCAAACAATTATAAAGAACAATTTCCAGAAACCATACTCACTAAAGAAAGAAAACCTAGCAGATATGGATGAATTTTTAGAGAAATAAAAGTTTCCCAAACTGACCCAAGAAGAAATAAATCAATTAAATAAGCCAATATCTTACAATGAGATAGAGGAAGCAATCAAAAGTCTTCCAACAAGGAAAGGCCCAGGACCAGATGGATTCACTAGGGAATTCTATAAGACCTTTAAAGAGGAACTAATATCCATACTCCTCAGACTCTTCAAGAAATAGAAACAGAGGAAGCTATTCCAAACTCATTCTACAATGTCAATATCACACTCATTCCCAAACCAGGCAAAGACCCAACAAAAAAAAGAGAACTACAGACCAATCTCCTTGATGAACACAGATGCAAAGATCATTAACAAAATTCTAGCCAACATAATTCAGAAACATATAAAAAAAATCATACATTGGGCTGGGAAGGTGGCTCAGTGGTAGAGCACTTGCCTTGCATGCATGAGGCCCTGGGTTCGATTCCTTAGCACCACATAAGCAAA